AACAGTAAATGATTTTGGGCAAGCTCACTGAAACTCAACGTTGTCAAATATTTCACGAGATAAAGGTAGCCATGTCAAAATTTTGTCAGGATATCATGGGAAACGAATGTGACTAAAAACTCAGCGAAATTTAAATCTTTTGTTTTTCAATTTCCAACCAATCGACTCCTTCGTGCGCTTGACAGACCGTTTTACTGCTATCTGTATTACGTTTCTTTTCTCAGCTTAAACAATCTCATCAATTCGATCTAAATATATTTCAAAGAATGATATTATAAATCTACTAGATTAGGACAGAATGTCAAAAATAAAATACTTTTTTGTCGTGGGAATAGACAAAAAAAATGCCACATTAACAGATAAATATTTTTTTATATCAAATGGCAGGCGTTTTGATGGTTATATTAGCCCTTTATTTGACTTCAGGCTTCACAGAGGGGAAGGAACATCAAATTGAAAATTAGTCGAGGAGGGGGGGGGGGGAACAGAAGAGTGTTTCAAAGATGTAAAGAGACAGACACAAAGGTAGAAAAAAGGTGAGGTGATTACTGTGGAAGTAGTCGAATATGACATACAGTGGGGGTGATGGTAGTTTGAAGTGAGAAATCAACTACCAGTTAATAGACGTTTTTGCCGTATGAGTATACGTTGCCCAGGATGCACCACGTGGAGGTAAGTCTATCGCACACCCCTTGACAGATAAATATACCTCTCTGGAAGTTGATTCTCATTGATCGAATGCATTTTCCCCAAATAACATATAATTAAATTAACGGAAATTTGTCCTCGGTCGCAAAGATAATCAAATCAATTCATGAGTAAGGTTTGTTATAATGAAAAAATTTAATATTTTCATCAATTCATGATTTTCCTTATGATAAATTAATTATTCTCAAACTCGTCACATTAATCCTGTAAAGCTGGAAATATGCTTCATATAAAGGCCATTTTGCTATGTTAAATTTCTATTATTTATATTTTATTTAATATGTATTTTTTACCATATTTGTAAAGATTATAAATAATAACGTAAAAATCCGTCATGTCTTTCTGGATTAAATAATGATAGAATTAATCTATTTTTCTCTGTTTTACGCCTAAATTTCTTGCCTTCTTCAGAGATGTGATTTGATGAGCCTTTTCTTTTTGCATGCATCATACCAGACAGCAGGAGGAACTTCAAAAGAATTATTGAAAATTTTAGGAAACAAAACACTTCCAACAATTCTTATTCGCAGCCAATACGATTCAAATAATTCCTATTAGTTAATTTAATAAATGATCGAAACACCGCGAGTGCTCCATTTCCCCGCCTAATATGAATAATAAGCGCTAGAATCATGACATTCTGACACCTACGTTGATATATTTATAGTTGAAAGAGTGTGAAATGCAACGTTAATGAAGGCGTTTATTTTCTTTGAATAACCATGTTTATGACAAGATGTGCGTTATTCCTGTTTCTCATATTCAAATTTAAGATTAAACATTTAGTTGTGGCGCCGAATCATAAAATTAAAATGAAATCCGAGAATCGTAAGCAGTTAATTAATTACTTTTTTTCTTTGTGTTAGCCGTAACTAAAATCAATACGTTTCACTTTTTTAAGTGGGGAAGCCGTTACAAAATTATAGCAGATATTACTTAATTAGGAATAACCGATTACGCAATGTTAGATCTCATTAATATTTATTTATTTATATCAAATGGTAGGCGACTTGATGGTTATCATTAGCCCTTTAGTTGACTTCGGGCTTCACATAGGGGAAGGAACATCAAAATGGCAAAAAGTCGAGATTTAGGGGAAGGAACATCAAATTGAAAAAATCGATAGGGGGGGGGGAACAGAAGAGTGTTTCAAAGATGTAACAGACAAACACGAAGGTAGAACAAAGGTGAGGTGAGTACTGTGAAGTAGTCGAATATAGCATAGAGTGAGGTGCACCACGTGGAGGTAAGTCTATCGCACACCCACATCTCATTAATATAAAATACGTCGAAATTAATTATTAGCAGAATGAAGGATTTTTTGTCGAAGAGAGTGTTTAGCGTTGACCATATACTATTTGAGGTAATTACTATTTGTGTTTTTAAACAAATAAATTTCCGAGTTCCCCGATATTTCAGCATTTATTTACTCAAAGTTTCCCGTCGTATCATCCTAATAGACATCACTTAGTGTGCGTCCGTTTAGCGCAAATGTGCTTTATTTAATGATCGCGTCAACTAGTGTGGTCAATGCAACTAGATGAATTGAATTTTAATTTGGGAATCTTATTGATGAAATAGTAACTTCGATACCACCAAATTTCATTGTCCATTTCCATTTTAACTCATAAAAATTCGATTATTTATCATTTTATAAAGACGCTTTACCAGCACAACGTTTGGGCAATAGGTGTTTCATTTCACTACTTGAAACACAGATGATCAACTCCCAGGTTTTATCCTGCTACTAAAGTAAATTTTGGGATCATAGACCGCTGCCACTATAGATCCAAGAAAGACCTAGGATATCTTTATAAAATAAAGCTGAAATTACTTCGGTTAACCTTTAAACGGCCGAATTATATCTTTTTTCGAAAAATGAGCCCAATCACACTCACGCATGTCTCAAGGAGACTGATGCCGCCGACGTGATAAGTTTTGGTGGTTTCAGGAAAAGACTATACACGAATTGAACATGTTTCAAACGGTAATAACAAGTCTAGTACCAACAGACCTTACTTTGAGAGAGAAACGTTCTGTCCTAGGGGTTAACATAATTGGGCCGTTATACATATCTTCAAAAATGTCTTCCACAATGTTTCTCAATTTCAGCACTATTTCCATGTTAACAGGCTTCTGTTTGCAAAAGAGGTGTAGTCGATTTTAGCATCAACTACCACGCGGTGGGTCTATAAATTGTAATTTATTTAAAAATGTCAATATCAAGGAGAGAAATTTGGGAAGTTAACATACGATCACTGAAAGAATATGTCTGCTCTGTTTTTTTTTCAAAATATAAGCAGTGAAACAGCTGTTTCATGTCGAAATGAGGAAATCTTGAAAAACGATATTTCTGCATAACCGACTTACTTCATATAATCAATGTCACGCGGTATACGAGTTAATCAGAAACAAACAAGCACACGTAAATGTGGTTGACAGATCGCCGACTAATTTATTCCATCAAATTCCCACCTGCACCTGGTGTGGCCTGTGTCCAAATCATGGTCGGCGCGATGTCGGCTGGTTGACAGCCCCTGCACAATGACAGCAGAGCCCTCTACGCAATTCGCCAATCACTTAGTGGTGACCTAGTTAATTGACAATATAGACTACTGGCAAGTCTTTGAATGGTCGACAAATAAACCCATTTGATGAATTTTTCGGGGTCTTTTAGCCCTATCCACTCAAATTAGGATACGTGCTAGGATGCAGAACCTTTAGGACAGCAAGAAAATGGGTTGGTTTCAAGGTTCAAATGATTGGTGACTACTGAATTGTGTTGATATTTTTACCTTTATTAACTTGTCATTTGTTCAGTTAAACAGTGCTATCCAAACCATTTCAAGCTGACATTGAGAGGATGTTTAGGGTAAAACTGCTCAACTCTGTCAATAATAACTTCAAAAGCCCTTTGGAACTGCGTGCCCTAGCGATTACTTTTGAGGTAGACGGGTGACAATTTGATCCCTCACCTTTCCCGCTGCCTTTGAGAAACTCCATTCCTATCATACCCTATTTTATTAGTCAAACTTATCCTTTGCGGTTGGTCATTCTGAACGCTCAGTGTGTACGATGCGGGTTGTACATGATTATACTTTCTACTGAAATAACCCCGCATATTTTAGTACTTTACCAGTGTACACTCTTAGAAATGTACGTGGCAAGACATTTATTTATTTATTTATAACAAATGGCAGGCTATTTGATGGTTATCATTAGCCCTTTAGCCGACTTCGGGCTTCACAGAAGGGAGAAACATCAAAGTCACAAAAGTGGAGAGGGGGGAACACAAGAGTGATGAATAGATGTAAAGGAGTGAGACACAAAGGCAGAGAAAAGGGTAAGGTGAGTACTGTGAATGGCCGAATATGACATACAGTCGGGTCAAGCCAGTTTATAGTGAGAAGTCAACTGCCAGTTTATGGACTTTTTTGCCGTATGAGTATGCATTGCCCAGGGTGCATCACATGGAGGTAAGTCTATCACGCACTCCGCGTGGTTTAACACTAGAGTTTGAAATCTGTTTACTCATTGAAGTAAGCTGCGTGGTTGATAAGGCCTTAGAAATCTATATAGCAGTCAAGCTTACTTATCCTTATTTCAAATTTCAAACAATTCGCAAGTTGGATTTCAGTTATAGCTTTTTACTGAACTCTAGCTATCAGTAAATAACACTGCCTCTCATGGCAGCGTATTGGATCCAAGTGACAACGAACGTTTGAAATTATTTAAGACGTTTCTCCATATTTAATAAAAATTGCAAAATAAATATTGCAGATTAAATTTTCAATAAAAGTTAAAAGGTTTTTGAAATGTCAGATCTGGACCGTTGACTTCCTTATTGTCATTTGGAGTCGCTTACAAGCATAACCATGCTAAAATTATATTTATATTTTTTGTTACTAAATAATTTACATTCTCCAGTAAATACCAGAATATTCGCATCGCTAATCACGTTTGTTAATTAAGGAATTCTAGGCATTCGAAAAAACTTGACTCTTAAATTGACTTTAACAAACAGCGCTATATAATCAACCACAAACCCAAGTGGACATACTTATTGGACAGTCTGGGTTGTGTCATTAGTTGACATTAACACGATTAATCTCTTCAACAGCATCCCCCTCCCCTCTTGAATACTTTAGTTAAAAAGAGATAGCTGGATAACAACAAAATTGGCCAATCAGTAAATTAGACAGCCGGCACCACTCTTCTCTACCAGTCGCGCGTTTTGATTGGAGCATTGAGACCTTGCACGTGCGCATCGGACTTGCGGGGTTAGCTAAAGCATGACAAGCCAAATACATAGATACGTCCACGAAGCAATTAACACTTATTGGACACGTTATGCGACATTGAGCAGTTCTGTCATGTCAAAGTCCTTCCTACTACATACCCTAGGTCTTCCTCTCCTAACCATTACTCTCGTATTTCACTCTACCCTCTTTCCCTCTGCTTTCAGTAATGAACTTCGAACAATCCTCGTGGAATCCGGACGAGATGACCCAGTTCTATCCGGTAATAATCAAGAAAATGACAAAATCCTAATATCAGACAGAGGAGGAGGCAACAATAATCATTATTTTCCACTTTCCAATCGAACTAATTTATATGGTGATCCAGTTCACCAAATGCTTAGTTCATCCAATGGAGTTGTCCGAATGCAGAACCGTAAAGTTTCTGAGCATATTGGACCAGATGGTCGATTCAAATCGAGCATTTGCGATCAACCGAATGGGTTTTTGCGAAAGCAGCGATCCCTGTGTCTGCAATATATTCAACTAATGGAATCTGTGGTTCGTGGGTACTTTATGGGCTTGAGGGAATGTGAATATCAATTCGCCTCTCATCGATGGAACTGTCTTGGATATAACCTAACAATTAGAAATCCACCTACAAGGAGAAAGTCTGGAAAAGTACTAAGGTCAAGTCAGGACGAACGATCGAATAGGAAGCGGGTCAGAACCTATATGGATCGACTTCTTTCCAGTGGTATGGTTGCTATTTAAATTTTGCTTACTTTTTTTTAAAGAAATGATTTACGTGTGTATTTGTGCGTAGTTTTTTTCAACCTGTAAAGTGGAGATCTACTTTGAGTTTAGAGATTAGTAAAATTTTAAAATGTTTCCATCTCAACCAGTACCTTTTAACTGCCAACTCTGAAAAATGTTTTTGAAAATTGCACCTGAAACACAGATTTTTTTTCTCGTTTTATTACACCAAACGCGGTTTTATTTCCCCATTTTGCATGTCAAATAACAATTTCAAATTTTGCTTAAATTCCGCTAATTGCGATGAACTCGCATTGACCTCAGCGATATGAAATTAGTCAGTAAATTTTTCTCACTTGGCATATGCGGTGGGTCCAACGATCATAAAACAGCAAATTCTTTCCATTCTGACCATGAGGCAAGCATTTCTGCAAATATATCTATGTTCACAGCGGAGATTCCGAAACATGACTTTTCTGCCCCTCTGTCGTCTTTTACTGCGCTACCTTCGGAAGGTGCTTCAAAAAAAGCGCCCACAACACTTCCGTGTCTTAGGGGATATTTTAAGGACGCTTCTTACATCACACCACATATCCCATTATTTTTACTTGTCCTAAACCAAAAGCACAATTTTAACTTAAGATTAAAACCCATTTCTACGGGTGAGCTTTGGAATAGAGCTTTTGAAATATCGGAAATCAATGTAACTATTGGGACGATATATATTTGAAAGAAAACTTGCTTAATTTCTTAAAAAGATGTCTATATTCGTTCGTTCTTTGATACTTTCATGTACATTTTGTGCTTGATAATATATTTTTTATTAAATTGCGAGGGAATACGGTATTTATTAGGCATAATATATTGTTCCCTGTGTATTTAACTACCAATTTCTGCGAAATCTGAGCGAGATTTCTTCAGATGAACCAACAAGGCACTTTACTCAGTGTTATGTTAATTCCTTAAGATTAAGTGATTATTACTTCGGTCTATCCTGGTAATGCTGTATGTCTCTATCACACATTTTAATCAGGAGACAATATGCAAACACTAAAATTACAAATATAGTTCGGTAACCGAGGAAATAGGTGTTGATGAATTAGTATATATCGCGAAGTCAAGCATCAGACTTTATTTGCATAGATGTTTAATTTACGTTGTTATTATTTTAATGTCCTAGAGCTCAATTACTCATAATTTAATCATTAGATTTTGGGAAGAGTTCATTCACGTGATATTTACAGCTGTCTGACCAATTCATATAATCGAAAAATGTGGCGCGCCAATCAAATTCATTTGTTGTGACGAGAGTAGAGGGAACTGCTTAGCTTGAAAGAGCAAATTGAAATACGAATATGATGAACTCTCTTAATTAATTATTTTCATACGAAATTCTATGGATAATTTAAGATATCCTTCAATTATTTTTAATTACTTAAGAACACGTTAAAGCGTTCCGTTGACGTTACACAATAAGGCTTTAACCAAATGACAATTTATTCAATCGTTTGGAAATTTTCGGAAAATGTGAATTTGTGAAAAAATGGGGGGACCCGGGGGAATTGAACAAGCCCTTTTATTGGTAATTCAATTTTGAAAGTAATAATTCTTAAATCGGGTTAGTTGTTGTCTTTCGCGTTTCTAATGTCATTTTCGGCATTTTCTCTAATTTTCCCGCAAACACAAAGCGCTGTCTTCCACTTGGCTTCACACACACACACAACCAGTCATCAATCATAAGTGTGTCCATTTTTTGACTCTTGGGTTGATTTTTTTCAGCGCTCTGTGGATGGAGGGAATGAATAAGTTTTAGAGAGCGATTGGAGGTGGAGTTAGGGGGAGAATAGCAAATGATGGCGAATTTTTTTATCCCTGAAAACATGTGCGCTTGCGTGCTGTTTACAACGAATCTTCTGGGCTGGGGAAGAGAATGCCTTGGGGATAGAGGTGGGGGGAGGGGGTGGTGGTGGAGGGAAGAGAGGGAATCCATTAAATGTCGTTTGGGTCTGTGTATGCGTTCATGTATATATGTACGTTCCCCTTTCTCCCACCCCTTTCTTTCTTTCTTGTACCCCCCTCTCTCTCTCTCTACCTCTCTCTCTCTCTCGGTTACCCCTTTCCTCCCCCTGAGACCAGTATGACGTTCTATACGGCCCCGTTGTGGACACGCATCAAATGTCCGTACGCACGGGTTTGGATGCATATTTACGAACCATACGCTTGGGGCACCAGCAAATTTTGCGAATTGAGGCGAATGAACTATCTACGAGACAGGATGATCTATGATCCTCCTTCCCTTTTCTTTTTAATAATGCGTCACTGAGAGTTGGCTTCTGACTTCGAATACACTAATTCCTGTTTCTGGGAGGACGATAAAAACGAGTGGGCATATTTTCATTAAAAAATAAATAATCGACATTCAAAAGAATGAAAGAGATTTAGCTCTATCTGGAAAATGTGGCTCTTATGGCCCCTTGAATCACTGCCAAATGTGATTTTAAAAGTCAAACAATCGGAAGATAAGAGGATGAGAATAGGGCCTATCAAATGTGATTTTTGGCTTGAAATTTTGATTATCCACAGGGTTAGTTTTTTATTTCTTAAATTGGTATGGTCTTGACCATACAAGCGGCGGTTTGAGTCTCTCGAGTGACAGGTTTTGACTAAATTGTATCGATTACTGTGAGCACAAAGGATCGTTATTAAGCTGTCCTGTGAACTATAATGAACTATGCACTTTATCGATATATATATATATATATATATATATATATATATATATATATATATGACACAAATCCATAACTTTTAAATGTCCACTACGAAGGACTTTGGAGGCAAGGTATGATTAATGAATATAAGTACGCATCGAAACCGTTCAATTTGTACGGAGCAATTCTGGTGTATTTGCCATACATTCATTCATATCAAATGGCAGGCGTTTTGATAGTTACCATTAGCCCTGGAGCTGACTTCGGGGCTTCACAGAGAGGAGAATGAACATCAAAGTGACAAAAAGTCGAGAGGGGGGACAGAATAATGATTCACAGGTGTAACAGAGACAGACAGGCAGAAGAAAAGGAAGAGAAAAGGTTAGGTGAGCATAGTGGACGGAGTCGAATATGACATACAGTGGGGTGATGGTAGTTTGAAGTGAGAAGTCAACTGCTAGGTAAAAGACTTTTTTGCCATATGAGTATACGTTGCCCAGGGTGCACCATGTGGAGGTAAGTCTATTGCGCACCCCTTTGCCATACATAAAGTGGCCTTTCCTACTCTATTCAACCCCTTGTTCATAAAGGTTAAAATTTTGATTATTTAATTTTCATTAAGGAAAACAACGTTTTGTGCTTTCAAATTGTCCTAATACCTATACCCGGGTAATATATGTCTGGGTCTCTGAGTAAGTCTTAATTTAGTGGCTATCCCGAGTCATATGGATATGTCTATCTTTCACAGCACTACGTCTCAGCGGTATTCACTATTCCGAGTGTGCTCTTGTCACTGAACCATAAGAGCTCTGGCCACTTTATCAGTAAAATGAGCGATTATATTTTCTTACATTTTTTGGAACTGTCTTATCTCAGATCCATGTCAATCAACACAGTACAAAGCCATCTGCAATTTTGAAATGATTGCTCTTCCAAGCAAGCTATATTCTCAAAAAGGACCCAATTGTGGCGAGAAACGTAACTCAAGTGCTTAAAATCGATACATGTTACCTCATATTGGGATTATTATCTTAAAGGAGTTATTAAGGTTACAACTAAAAACTCTAATTCCATTAATTCTGTATTGACGATTAAAGAGGAATAGTGGATAAAGGTCACTTTTCGTTGGCAATGTTGGAAGACCCCGAGACTCTGATCGATACCTCCAATTTAGTCCCGTATTATTTATTTGCAAGGGTATTAAAATAAGGTACACACACTTCGGAATAGATTGTACCGAAGTAGAAGCTGATCATAACTCCACGCACATAATGAATAAAATTACTATTTCAACTCTATTTTTCCTTTTTCTATTTGCCTACAAGTGAGCGCTATGTTAAATGAATTTGAACCTCTGGAGTTAGTTAATGAGGTATGCTCATTGGCACATATGAACATCTGGTTAGGAGGAGATAACGCAAATTTCGCTCTTTGGTACACATCCAGTGATGCGAATGCCACAAAGCCTAAACTAATTCTCTCTAGCGTGGTTAATGGCGGTGGGAAATGAAATTCTCGTGGTGAGAATTTCAGGATATTTCTACTTTACGCAAGACAGGTGTTATGCAACCATTTTACTAATTGAAGTCTTCACACACACACTGCATAATTGAATTCCAATTTGTGGGCATCTCTGTAACTAACCAATTACAAGCAATTCTTCTTCCTCTGTAAGGAAAGTCTTCATGAAAAAAACTCTTTAAAATTGTTTACCTTAAGAGTTTTAGTACTATTCCTTATGAAATTGCCAGTAATTACATCAGTTTCTGATAATTATGGAGATAATTGGCGAGGTAATTGAATCTATTTGGGCAAGAAAGATTAGCTTTAGCGCTTCTTCCACCTTCCTCGACTGATAACAATTTTGACTTATATTTTTGAAATTAAAAGTAGTTGTAATTTTTTTAGAAATTCCGAAATAACTTTTTTCTACCACCAGATTGCATATGGTAATTTGGAAACATCTGGTAAGACAAAAAATGAACCTAGGTGCTTTTTACATGAATGATTAATAGCAGATTTTAGGAAAATTTGGTCCCTTCCCTTATTTCCAGAATTTTATTTTTTTCCTTTATAATTTTATTTCAAAATTTTTGTTCTTGAAAGAAGTGAAGTGAAGATCCTGCATTATCCTTTTGCACTAAATTATATCTTTTTAAGAAACATTACACTTTGCTAAATTTGACTAGTAAATTAAGCAGTAAATGCTAAATTTTTATTGATTAAACGTATTTTTCTAAAAACTTAAATGATACAGTTGAAATTGGGAATTTTGATTTCATTCTTCGAAAATATATGTAATTTTAA